CACTTCGCTGAGGCACTGCTCTGGTTCAAGTCCTCGTCATCACTCACAATCACTGGTCTTCCTGTCCATCCACCCAGCAAATATGTACAGAGTACCTACTATGTGCCGCACAGTGTTTCAGAGACTGAGGACACAAGGGCAACCAAACACAGACACTGTCCTAACTGTACTCCCAGCAGGTTCCTCTCTGCCAGGACAGCTGTTATCTGGGCTCTCCTCACGGGTCCTCATGTGTTAGAACTCAGTTCAAGTGTCACTTCCTAGAGAGGCCTTCCCAGAGGCCATGTCCACCTTCTTCCCCTGTTCTAGTGCTGCCACTGTTTGCTGCCTGACTTTTCAACTGGAATGAAAGACCCATGAGGGCAGGAGCAATGACTGCCTTATTGACTTCCTTCATCTCCAGAGTTTAGAAGAGTGTTTGACATAGGAGACTCTTGTAATTATTTGCCGAATAAATTAAACTTTTCCGTTTTTAGTTTCCCTTTCTCTTGCACAGCGGTGGCAAAATGATCTTTTCACAGCAACAAATCTCAGACTATCTTGCAATGCCTGAAAACTTCTATAGCTCCTAGTTGTGTACAGCTTGTCAAATTCTATTTTTTTTTTCACTTTTATTCGATGCCCTGCCCAACCTGACATGGGTCTAAACCTCTTCTCCAAAGTATCAGAGAAGCAATGAAAGTAAATGGTTAGGAGTGCGGGCTAAAGTTTCAGCTCTAATACCTACTAACTTACCAGACAACTGACCTTGGACAGATCTGGGCCTCAGTTTTCTATAGAATCTGTCAATAATACAGCTCCCAAATCAAAGGGTTGTTGTGAAGATTAAACTAGTTACTAGATCAAAAGTATTGAGAATCATTCCTGGCACAAAATAATAAATGCTACTTACTCCTGTCCTAAGCCTTGGACTTCAAGTCACATCAGTCTACTCCTTCTTTCCTAAACAAGCCATGTTCCTTCACACACTCCCTTTCCTTTTCTTACATGTGTTATTTTGTAAGTCAACCACTGACTCACTATGGCTGCATATGTTGATTAATGTGAAGTTCTTTAAAGCAAAAATTGTATCTGAAGTTCTTTATAAGGTATGAAATGCTGATTTGCTTGATAAATGTGAAACCAGGATCATTACCTAAATTTAGTCCTTTTAACAGTTTGTACTTACATAAGAAAGTTCAAGGTGAACTTTAAAGTTTATTTGGTTTTCCTTTTCTATTCACTTAAATGCTGAGTTCTAAGAATAACTGAAGGAGTAGAAAGCTTTCTCCTCTGCCATCTCCCACCTACTCCTTTCTCACCATCATGTACAACAAAAATGCCATAAATACTGACCTGGGGCAGTCAAAGTGATCCTTAAATACTATGTTAAACATAGGGGCTATTATTACCACTAGTAAGACTGATAGATCTTGCCTCTGCCAGTAATTACTGGCAGGAACTTGGCCAATAACATGGAGAAACACTGTTTTTTTCTGGCCCACCTCCCCCTATCCCTTCCAGGGAGAAATGTGGAACTTCACAAGTTAGAGACAACATATTATCTCTCAACTGGAAGCAGGTGAAAAATAAATGTCAAAGTTGTAAATAAAACAGGATTGGTAAGTATTTTAAAGTTTGGAATATTCAGAGGCTTGGGAGGTTTGGGTGGTTTGCCAAAGGGACAGAACTGGATCTGTTCAAGGATACTGGGTTCTCAGAAACCTAGGAAAGGCAGGAGGAGGAACTTGCCTTTCAACACATCGCCTTGGGCAGATTTCATACCTATGAAAGACACCTGCAGGGCCAGGATCCTTCCTGATCCTCACTGTTCTAGCCCAATTCCAGCATATTATAGAGAAGGTAATCATGAATTATACTGTGTCCTGGCTTAGGAACAACCATCATATGTATTATGTTGAAGACTTTTTGGAAAGTGTCTCATTCATAAGCTAGTGCCTGCAGAGAGTTGTAAGCAGTTCCCTCTGGAGAGGATTTGCCAAGTAGCGTATCCTAAGTTTTGCAGTAAGAAGCCAACCTCACTGAGATGAGTATTGTGGAATACTTGGCCAAACTCTCAGATCCAAATCTGGGTTAAGCAATAAATAATATAATGGCAAGAAAATAAGACCAAACTACATAGAAATGGGAGTGCCTGGAAACTGAGACAGCTGGAGTCAGACACACCAAGATCTGAAACTGGATTCTTGACTCCCCTCCTGAGTGCCTTTCTCCCAACAGTCCAGGGCCGCCTTTGTCACGACCCAGGGCTCAGCTTAGCTGTCACCACTGACTGTCTGTTGTGAAGACAGCCCCACCCTCAACCTGATTCATTTTCTTCTCTTCATAGCTTTTAACCACTATCTGAAATTACCTTATTGATTCTTTATTGTCTCTCTTTCTCTCTTAAAAGAACATAAACTCCATGAAATATTTCACTCATGTCATGCTCACTAGAGTATACCGAGGGCCTAGCACAAAATGTGTGGCACATGGAAAGATAAATATTTGTTAAACAAATAGGGCTATTGTGTGAGGATTCAATGTGGAATAAATTAACTATCTACATGCCCACCTACCTACTTCTCTGTGTCTGGTACAGAGCTGCTATATGGCAGACATTAATAAATGTTATAAAAGATACTGTTATGAGTCAGAAAATAGTCACTGAACAATTTAGATATGTCTCCTAGCACAGGAGAAACCAGGAGAATAAAAACATGATCCTTCCAGGAGGGAAAGGAAAAATCAGCTAAAGACTGATAGCAACCTGAATGCTAACTTGAAGTCTGCTAACAGAGAAAAGCAGTTATGTCATCGATAAACTTCTCTAGTCAATGTTCAGAATTTACAGAAAACTCCTAGAAGCTGCCTAACCCCATGCTGATGTTGACGACATGGGAAAACACTGAAAAGTAGTTGTGGTGCAGGCAAAGTAGAGAATGGTTCTGCATTTTCTTCCACAAAATCAGTGAAAGGCTTCTGGTCCATCTTCCTCACAGGGAGCAAGGTGGGGGAATTCCCTAACAAAGTGACCCCATTCCCTACATGCTGCTTGTAAACCTGTTCATCCGGGGGTACGCAGCCACACCACTCTCTGCCCCTGCCCCACCTTTTGTTGAACAGCAGGGGAGCTGCCCCCGCGCAACTGGAAGCAACCAAAGACTTCCTTTCTCCACAGTGTTGCAGTTATAGCTGTGGTCATGCTGGACACATTTTGGGAAAAACATATAAGAATAAGACTTTTAAGGTCTCTTTCAGCATTGCATTTCCATGAAATCTTATCTGTACAAGGATTCAAAAAATTACCAAACTGCTTTTGCAACATTTTGAGCATAATTTTTTGAATTAAAAGTTGGAAAAGAGGATATTTACTTAAGATAGTGGTTTTCAAACTATTTTTAAAGCAGAAGACTACTTTTTTGTAAATGAAATTTTATATAGCTCCTCAATACAATAGAGAGATAAGTGTGGTACTCCTCTGGTAACAGCTGGGGCAAGGGACCAGGGCTCTATCCTCTGGGCTTTCCCCTTGGCCTCTGAAGGGGCCCCTGACATCTCTGAGAAACACAGCTGGTTAAGTGAAAGGGAAAGGAAGCTAATATTTAGATAAATAAATAAATAAATACATAGGGAAGAAGGGGAAGCTTTCTCTTAATGTGGAGAAAGAGGTAGAGTTGGAAAGTTACCACTTTGTAACCATTATAGTAAAAAGATGGGTTTGAACAAGAATCATGAATGGATGCTTGACCTAGGAGGAACAGTTTGATGAGAAGCAGGATATTGAGCCCTGGCTGGTGTGGCTCAGTGGATTGAGTGCTGGCCTGCAAACTCAAGGGTTGTCAGTTCGATTCCCAGTCAGGGCAAATGCCTGGGTTGCAGGCCAAGCACCTGGTTGGGGGCATGAGAGAGGCAACCACATACTGATGTTTCTCTCCCAATCTTTCTCCCTGCTTTCCCCTCTCTCAAAAAATAAATAAATAAAGTCCTTTTAAAAAAAAGAAACAAATACCTCAAATGTCTCTCTAAATTGTTTAAAAGTTTAAAAGTGAGGAAAAACTGCTTATCGGGGCATAAACATCACTGGTAGACTTCAAAAGTGTGAATGTCATATAAGACAAAGAATGGCTGAGGAAGTATTCCAGATTAAAAAATAAAAGAGACAAGACATCTCAATATAATATATGATCCATCTCAATACAATATATGATCCTTCACTGGATTATGTACTGGAGGGGAAAAAACACCATGGAGGACATTATTGGGACAACTGACAACACTTGGAATATGGATTATCACTTTGATAAAAGTACTGAATTGGTGTTAAATTTCCTGAATTTGAAAATTGTACCGTGGTTATGTAACAGAATGTCCTTGTTCTTTGGAAACACATAGTGGAAGTATTTGGCCTAAAGGGAACATGATATGTGGCATACTCTTAAATAATTCATAAAAAATACATAATACAGTGTACTTACACATACAGAGAGAGCAGTGGTTCTCAAAGTGGGATCCCTGAAGAAACATTAGCATTACCCAGGAACTTGTTAGAAATATACAATCTTGGGCCCTATCCCAGACCTACTAAAAAGCAGCTACCAGGAGTGGGCCCAGTAGTCTATTTTAACAAGCACTCCAGGGGATTCCACAGTAAAGTTTGAAAACCACTGGTACAGAGAAACAAATGTGGTGAAATGTTAAAATTAGTAAATCTGGGCAGAGGATACATGGGTCTTCTGTATTACTGAAATTTTTCTGTAAGTTTGAAATTGTTTCAAAATAAAAATAAACAACAACAGCAAAAGGATTACCCTGGGGTAATTCATGTTTGGATGTGGAAAGGAAGAGACTTTGGAGGCAAGGAGGCAAATCACTGGAGTTTTGCAGTAACCTACACAGGAAGTGATGGGTTTGGGAACTAAGGTTGCTACAGCTCCTCTGTAGAGTGAGGAGTGGGATGTTTGTACAGTCTTCAAACAACAAATCTTCTTGCAGAAAATTTGGGAACCAAACGTACTAACCTGAATAGGAGAGTCTGGCAATCTCTATAAAGAGGTCTTCTTCAGAAAAGCTTTCGGGGAGCATGAGGAAAGCAGCAGTCACAGCACTTCTCAGATTTTTATCGAGGGCTGATCTGAGAATGACATTCTCATTCATTGCTACGATTTTCACCTGAAAAAAGGAGAATATTCAGAAGAAAAATCCCAGAAGAGTATTGCTCAGCCTAAGGTGTTTATAACAGAACGTGCAATGAAACTGTCCCAAACTTAGCCCTGAAGATCTTGGAATACTAGGCCAGTTGACACAAAATAACAATTATTCTAATAAGCAATCCCAGAACCTCCTGTTTTATGCCAAATCAGAGAGATCATGACACAGGAAAAAAGTAAAAATAAATAAATAAATCTCTGAAATGAGGTTTTAAAAAGAAGTCGGTAGAAATGGAATAAATGTCCTTTTGGAAATTTAATTTTTATTTTATAATCTCATTGTTCACTTAATTTTATGATGGACAAAGGCAAAATTTTAATTCTTTATTTAGAATTCAACTGTTCTATTACCCATATATAACCCGAGTAGTTCACACTCTATTTTGAACTGATTTTGAACTTGACTAAGGAAAAAGGAAAGAAAATTAGCTACAGTAGAAAGGGCATGGGTTCGGGGTATAGGCATGGGCTCAAGTCCAGGTATTTACTAGCTGTGTGAGTTTGGGCAAATTACTAAACTTGTCATCTATAAAATAGGGATAACAGACATGCATCAAAGAATTGTTACAAAGATTGAGTGAGATAGTAAAGTGCCTAACATACTAGTGAATGCTTTGATCAATAAAATACTTCTCCTGAATATACAGCAGAGGCTGCTGTCCTTGACTTTTCCCAAGTTCAAGAAAAGATAAATTGCGATAGTCTGTTCAGAGATTCTAGGTTTTAAAGACTGCACTGTAGTTAAGAGAATGTGTTCAAGTCCCAGCTCTACCTCTTACTAGTTCTGTGATTATGGGCATAATGCGCTATCAGTAAAATGAGGTTAATAACAGAATCAAACTTATAGGTTGCTGGGAAGATTAAATGAGATATTACACATGAACCCTTAGCTGAAGTAAGATTCCGTATGTGTTTCTTGGTGCCTACTGAAAGAATTTCTCTAGGACAGAGGTTCTCACTTTTAGCAAGCACCAGAATCCCCTAAAGAGCTTGTTAAAACACATATTTTGAGGCCATTCTCCAGCATTTCTGATTCAGAAGGTCTGGATACGACCTGAAAATGTACATTTCTAACAAGTTCCGAGGTAACGTCTGTGCTGCTGGTCCAAGGGCCACGTTATGAGAACCATGGCTCTAAGGTATATACTTAGAACTGCCCAATTGTTCTTTGGAATAGTTGTGCCAATTTACACTCTTGCCATAATTTTTTAAAACCATCATGCTCCTTCTACTGATTTTCTATAAGTCCCTGATAAGAACTCCAGAAATTGCCCTGGCTAGCGTAGCTCAGTGGATTGAGGGTGGGCTGCGAACCAAAGCATTGCAGGTTCGATCCCCAGCCAGGGTACATGCCTGGGTTGCAGGCCACGGCCCCCAGCAACTGCACATTGATGTTTCTCTCTGTCTCTTTCTCCATCCCTTCTCTCTCTAAAAATAAATAAATAAAATCTTAAAAAAAAACCCTCCAGAAATCTCAAATGTATCCACCATCTCTAAACCATTTAGTGCCACCATCAAATTTTCCTCCTATTCTAGAAAACAGGGCTTAAATTGCCTTTTATTTGTCCAATAGAGGTAATTTTTAAACTATATTTCATTGATTATGCTATTATAGTTGTCTCATTTTTTCTCCCCTTTATTACCTTCAACCCTGCAACTCCCTGCTGTTAGTTCATGTTCATGGGTGTACATTTAAGTTCTTTGGCTTCTCCATTTCCTGTGCTATTCTTAACCTCCCCCTGTCTATTTTGTACCTACCATTTGTGCTTCTTATTCCCTGTACCTTCCTCCCCATTTTCCCCCTCCCCACTAATAACCCTCCATGCAATCTCCATTTCTGTGTTTCTGTCCCTGTTCAGTTATTTGCTTAGTTTGGGGTGTGTGTGTGTGTTTAGAGGTTCAGTTGTTCATAGCTGTGAGTGTGTTGTCATTTTACTGTTCATAGTTTTTTAAAGTATATTTTATTGATTATGCTAATAGTTTTCCTAATTTCCCCCCCTCCACCCCAACCCTCCAGCTTTTCCCCCCACCCTTAGCTCATGTCCATGGGTCATACGTATAATTCTTTGACTTCTCTGTTTCCTATATCATTTTTAACTTCTCTCTATCTACTTTATGCCTACCAATTATGCTCCTTATTCCCTGTATCTTCTCCCTCACACTCTTTCCCTTCCTCCCCCACCACTGAAAACCCTCCATGTAATCTCCATTTCTGTGATTCTGTTCCTGTTCTAGTTGTTTGCTTAGTTTTTGTTTTAGGTTCAATTGTTGATAGTTCTGAGTTTGTTGTCATTTAACCGTTCATAATTTTTTATCTTCTTTTTCTTAGATAAGTCCCTTTAACATTTCACATAATAAGGGCTTGGCAGTGATGAACTCCTTTAACTTTAGCTTATCTGGGAAGCACTTTATCTGCCCTTCCATTCTAAATGATAGCTTTGCTGGATAGAGTAATCTGGGATGTAGGTCCTTGCCTTTCATGACTTGGAATACTTCTTTCCAGCCCCTTCTTGCCTTCAAGGTCTCTTTTGAGAAATCAGATGACAGTCTTATAGGAACTCCTTGGTGGGTAATTGTCTCCTTTCCTTCTGCTGCTTTTAAGATTCTCTCTTTATCTTTAATCTTGGATAACTTGATGATGCACTTTGGTGTTCCTCTTTGGGTCCAATTTCTTTGGGACTCTCTGGGCTTCCTGGACTTCCTGGAAGTCTATTTCCTTCACGAGATTGGGGAAGTTTTCCTTCATTATTTGTTTAAATAAGTTTTTGACTTATTGCTCTTGTTCTTTTCCTTCTGGCACCCCTATGATTCAGATATTGGAACATTTATAGTTGTCCCAGAGGTTCCTCAGCCTCTCCTCATTTTTTTGAATTTTTGTTTCTTCATTCTGTTCCAGTTGGATGTTTATTTCCTTTTGTTCCAGATTGTTGATTCGAGTGCCAGTTTTCTTCCTTCACTATTGGTTCCCTGTATAGTTTGCTTTATTTCACTTTGGGTAGCCTTCATTTGTTCCCTCATTTTGCAACCAACCCCAACCACTTCTATGAGCATCCTGATTACCAGTGTTTTGAACTTTGTATCTGATAGGTTGTCTATCTCCTCATCGCTTAGTTCTTTTTCTGGAGTTTTGATCTGTTCTTTCATTTGGGCCATATTTTTTTTGTCTCAGCACACCTGTTATGTTGTAGGGGGCAGGGCCTTAGGAATTCAGCAGGACAGGGCAACTCTCTTTGCTGCATTGTGGCACTGTCCGTGGGTGAGGAACCCAAGAGGGAATAATACCGCTTGCTCAGCTCTCATCCCACTTTCAGTCACTTCCCCCAGTACCCACAAGCAAATTGGGCCGTTCTGGCGCTGATTCCAGGGTGGTTGGGTTTGTGTATATTCTAGGACTCTGTGGTTCTCTCTAATAAACTTTTCTGTGAGGCTGGCAGTTTCTCCCACTGCCACAACCCCTACAGATTTTTACAGCCAGAGGTTTGAAGGCTTTATTTCCTGGATCTGAAACCCTGGGTTGTGCAGTCTGTCTCACTCCACAGTTGTTCCTCCTGGTTTATCTGTGCATGAATGTGGGACTGCCCTGTCTGCTATTCACCGCCTTGCTGGGCATCCTCTCTGTCCCTCCTACCAGTCTGAATGAATGTTTTTTCTTTAACTCCTTGTTTGTCAGACTTCCATACAGTTGGATTTTCTGGGAGTTCTGGTTATTTTTGGTTTTTAAATTTGTTGTTGTTCTTTTGGTTGTGCAAGGAAGCTAAGCATATTTACCTATGCCTTCATCTTGTTCAAAAGTCTGCCAGGTCTGAATAGAGATAATTTCTGATAAAATTACAATAGTACATAAAAGGCACATACATATAAGAAACTCCAAAAAATTATCGCTTCTCGGCCTTTTGGCTAAGATCAAGTGTAGAAACTCCAAATTAAAATTTTATTAGACAACAAGAGACTGATGTATATCTCAAAGTATAGTTTCTTTTTTAAAAATTAATTGTAAAAAGCAGTATCATAAAACATAACTATTTTATAAATCAGGCTTAAGAACCTTATTCTATCTTTTTACCTTTTGTCTCTACTTTTTTTACTAAGGGAATATTTATAACATAAAAACTTCTCATATGTTAGGTAAGTCACTTTATTTAATACTACCACCTCCTCCCTTGTAATTACAAGGACTTAACAACACTTAATTAAGCCTTTCTGCACTTGGGGGAATTTAGCATTATTGCAATCATCTGCAGAAAGTAAAACCAAGAAGCAGCCCAGCGGCAAGACTTGCCCGAGGTTGCATAATGAGTTGATGGCAAAATCAGAGTAACACCCTTATACTTGGCAAATCCACCTCTAAATGATTTGGATTATTCTCATGCATTAGTTAGGGATCTGCTCTGGTTAACTTCCTTTCTTTACAGATGATTAAAACAAATGTTAAGGTCCTAATAATAACTCCCATATTTATTTCTTGAATAACTTTCCCAAACTTTGTATTCCATATAGAATCACAGATGTAGGAAGGTAACCTCCTCATCTTACTCATGGGGAAAGTAAGGCCCAGAGGATTAAAAGATTTCTCCATGAGAAATATTGACAGAACAAATGAAGATCCAGGTCCCTGATTCGTTCAGAGCTCTTTCCAAAAGTCTATAAAGTCTTACTTCCATTCTTACTCTTCCTTCTCATTCACCAGGTCCTGTTCAGTAATTCTTCTCCTCTCTCTCTTTTTTTTTTTTTGGTAGCTTTTACAGAAACTCCATGAAAACAGAAGCTATTTTGAGATGCTAACAAATCAAAGTTACAAAGAAAAGGGTAAGTTTGAGGAAAGTTTCCTAGTTAACATGATACCACTTATTCTCTAAGAAAATTGTTCTACTTAGTTTATAAAAAAAAGCAGGCTGTTTGCTATTTAAGGGTAAGAGAGTGTAAATAAAAGCATCCTTACTCAAAGGAAAAATGTCAGTTCAGAAGAGTCTGCTACTGTGCTGATCTGGTTCTCCAGTGTAAGGTGAACTAGAAACTTGTCTCAGCAGCACTGTTATTTGTTGTTCAGAGTGAAAAGCCAGTGAACTCCTGGGACACTGCCAGAGAGGCCTGGGAAAAAAGAAAGCCCTCAGATGTGTGAATAGCTGTTTGTATCTTACTGGAAATGGCCCCATCTGAACCGCACAGATAGCATTAGCACTACTGCCAAGGAGAAAATCTTTACTGGAGAGAGGAAGGGGCAGCACTTGAAGGGACTTTCAAAAGCCCAACTCGAGAGATTTGTGAGTATCTTTCAAGATAGAAAAAAAGAGAAAGTCACATGTGGTCTCCTCAGTACTTGGATAGCAAACAGTGAAGTTACGGTCACAAAGAACACAGCCCAATCTAGTGTTCAAGCACCCAACCACGAAGCAAATGACCCTTCCCATGGAAGTTTTTCACTTCAAATGGCCAAAAAGGCTAAGTTTTCTAAATGGCCATTGCCTGCGGGCCGAGAAGAAACACTGAGCTGGGTGAAACCTTATTAATCACCTGTTGGACTATGGCCTCTCCCAAGATACCAGTGTGGTGGGTTTTTTTTTCCTTTTTAAATTCCTTTGACATACACAGAGAAGAAACTCAGTGGTCTTTTAAATAAGTAAATGAAAGGCTCAATCTTTGCATTTCAAAGACTAGAGGCCCAAAGATTTGTTCACAGCTGGGCAGAGCCCCGACTGGTAAGCCAGGTTTTCCATCTCCAGTCAGGGATCTATTCTACTGCTGGGATTTTTCTTTTCTCTTTACAAAAAGTAAATCAATAGCTACAATGTGATGAAGGGTGCAAAACTGTGACTATGCTAAAAACCATTGATTGTACACCTTAAATGGTTGAATTGTATGGTATGTGAATGATATCTCAATAAAGCTGTTATATACTAAATATGAAATGCAAAAATCCAAACTTATGTTAAATAAATTAGGGAAATGACTATTAATGTTACTTTGGAATTCTTTTGACTTAAAAAATGATTAGCCATAGGTTCTATTAACTATTTTACATTTTATTGTTCTTTACTTGGAGAATGACTTGGTAAATGACTCAGAAACTTAAGGCTGCACTAAAAATAAAAATGGGTTATCTCCTCAATTATGAAGTAAGTTAATAGTAAAGTATTGGGTTGGCCAAAAGTCCACTTAGTTTTTTCAATAAAATAAAAGATACATTTTAAATTTTCACCAATAACTTTATTGACTTGGATATTTTGCATGTATCAGCTATCTCTATCATGGTATATAATATTGATTGTTCTCAATTAATGTCTTGATTCAATCACTATCAACTTCAAGTGGTCTACCTGACTGTGGAGCATCATCTAGCAAGAAATCTCCAGCATAAAAATTTGCAAGCCACTTTTGACATATTCAATCAATCATAGTACTTTCTCCATACACTGCACAAATCTGTTTTTGCATTTGTTGTATTTTTACCTTTCCTTTTTTTAAAGATTTTATTTATTTATTTAGAGAGAGGGGAAGGGAAGAGAAAGAGAGGGAGAGAAACATCAATGTGTGGCTGCCCCTCACATGTCCACAACTGGGGACCAGGCCCACAACCCAGGCATGTGCCCTGACTGGTAATTGAACCAGCGACCCTTTGGTTCACAGGCCCACACACAATCTATACCAGCCAGTGCTATTTTCACCTAATAATAATAAAGCATAAAATGCTGAAAATGTTGCATATTTCTTCCATCTTCAATATTAAAATGGCTACACAAAAATTCACCAATTTTGATGTTTTTTAAAAATGCACACTGATATGACAGCTGTCACAATACAATCTAACAAAATTGTTTCGAATGAAATTAAAGACAACTAAGTGCTACTAGAGCCATATTACAGAAGAAAAAACAAATGAACTTTTTGGCCAACCCAATATGATAGAAATTTAATTTATATTCAACATGTTCCAGAAACGTCCACCTTTTAAAGCAAGGTACTCATTTAGTATCCTCTCTTTTTTATTAATAAACTTTATTTTCTACAGCAGTTTTAGATTCACAGCAAAACTGAATGGAAACTAGAGTTTCCATACTCTCTGTATATTTTAAACAAATTGCTAGTGATTAAGAAATTCTAATTGCAATATGAAAGATAATTTTAGAGCTTTAGACAGTATCATTTAATGTAACTCCTTTTCAAACACATAAAAACAAAGAATTCACATTCATATTCTTATAATTCCTTCCTACAACATGTACCCATTCTTGTTTGATTAATATTTGCTGCCACCTAGAGGTAAAAATAGTTTGTCTAAAGAAAGTTATCTTTAGCTCTGATGGGCATGGCTTAGGGTCTGCAAGAGCGAAAGATTCCTAGTCAGAGCACATGCCTGGGTCTCTGGCGAACCCTGGTCCCTGGCTGACACATGTGCAAGAGGCAAATGGTCCAAGTTTCTCTTATGCATCAATGTTTCTCTCCCTCTCTTTCTCCCTCCCTTCCCCTCTCTCTAAAAATAAATTTTAAAAAACCTTATTAAAAAACGAATTATCTTGAGAATGGTTAAGAGTCTTTCTAGTAGAGAAGGAAACTAAGAGCAGGAATGTGTGGAGTTAATTCACCCATTTACGCTTTTTTCCTACCATGTGTACGGTCAACACTTTGAATGATTTTTTTGTTAATCCTCACCCAAGGACATTTTTTCATTGCTTTTAGAGAGAGGAAGGGAAAGAGAAAAAAAATCTGTTTGTTGTCTCACATCTGTGCCTGGACCAGAGATTGTAAGCATCCAGACCAGGGGTCAAGCCCACAAAGTAGGTATTTGCTCTGACCAGGAATCGAACCTGCAATCTTCAGTTATGGGATGATGTTCCAACCAACTGAGCCACACCAGCCAGGGCTCAAATAATTTTTTTTAAGCTATCCTAATTTTCTTGTGCTAGAAGCTTAATAAGCCTGAGAGATAGTCATTGTTATCAATAACATTTTTTTTCTCCAAATTAGCTGAGAAATGGCATTTTGCATGATATAAATGTAGCTGCTATTACTTGTCTTGAATTGCTTTTATTTTATCAGGATATATGACATTTACATAAAATCTGAGGTCATTTCCAGTGCTTATAGTCTGAGATTTCATGGTGTTTTCAGTTTTCTAAAGTCTTAAAAAAAAAAAAAGAAACATTCCAAGCACAAAGCACAGCACAGAGGATAACAACATTTCCACACTGAGTACCTCATTTTATCTCAAAGTAACTTTAAGATGGGCAAGGACAAAAGAAAGTGAATATTCATTTCCTGAGTGTCTACTAAGTACCAGGCATTTTAGATCTAGGTTTGTCTTTGAGGTCAGTATGATCAGCCTCATCAATGGATGATGATGTTCCAAGGCTCAGGGAGAATTAGTCACTGATACAGGGTCACACAGCTGGGGGAGTCAGACTGGGACCCAAACCATGGATCTGTCTGATTCTAAAACACTGTTTCCTTCCCAGCATCACCATTCTGCTTCTACTTTTCAACACCTTCTTGAAGCAGGCAGGGTGAATACTGCAGTCCCCATTCTATAGATAAATTACCAGAGGTTCAGAAAGATAAAACAAGTTGCCCACGTTCACATAAATAGCTAACAAGTGGCAGGAATGAATGAGAACCGAAGATTCTCATTCCACATTCATTATTCTTCCCGTGAAGTGACATATTTTGTAAATTTAAAAAAAAAAACTTGGAAAGAAAATTAATATTTATAAATTTTCAACTACATTTATTTGCTTAATTATGAGCATTACTAATTATCCAAACTAGAAATGAGAAATTCATCTAGATAGATAGGAAATTATTTTGGTAAGCCTATTGTTTCTGAACTTTAATGTTTTTACTGAAGTAAAAATTACACACAGTAAAGTATACAAGTCTAACAGGTATAGCCTCACAAATTTTTACAAATGGGTATTTCCATGTAACTATTGCCCTTATCAAGTGTTTCTGAACATTTTAATGAGCTACACCATTATTATTTTCTACATGGAATTTTATTTATATATTTTCCTTTTTATTTAACTTATTGGGGAGACACTGGTTAACTAAATTATATAGGTTTCAGGTGCATAATTCCACATACACCAATAAAGTTTAAGCCCAGATACAAGGCAAGAGAATCCTGACCCCGCATGAATATATATCAATAGAAATTTTTATGACACCACCAAGTAAGCTAAGATTGTATAAACCTCTCTCTAGTTTTTTGCCATAACTGACAAAAAGAAGAACAGCAGAGTCACTCTTTTGGGAGACATTTGAGAACCATCCATATATTTATTCTCTTCCGGGGCCTGAGACCCTCTGACAACACAAAGAAATTTTTCCCTTGCTGCGGGGTTAGCAACTGTGACTGTGTTACATAGTTCTATGAAAAGACCCCTTCTCAGAAAATAGGCTATATATTGGCCTATTTATATATAATAGGCTAAATATATAATATATATATTTATTATATATAATATATATATAATAGGAAATAGGCATTTCCTCTGCCATCCTCTCCAGCCCAAAGGACTAACTCTGAGCCTGATCCACCCAGACAACTGAAGCATCTTTGGAGAGAGGACAGGAGCAGCATGGGTAATATCTAGATATTGTTTGGCAATGAATTTTTAGGCAGGAAAAGGAGTCTAAAACTCACTTCTATTTCCTGGAGTTCCATCTCATTGCAATCAAATATTAAAGTAAGGCCAGGTTCAGAGAGGAGAGACATCCCTAACTGTGGCAGCCAAAGGAAACACTCACCGGTTTTTGGAGTCGTCCAGCGATGTATAAGTTATTCCAGTTAAGGAGATCCTCAATCAAAATACTAGTGCTAATAACCCCATATTTTATAAGCTGGAAAAGAAAAGAAATGGGCATAAAAAGAAGCAAAATACCATATTGTTGCTTATGCAGATACAAAATATAAGGTAATACATTTCTGTCACAATAGTACCTTGATTTCCAAAGCCACTCAAAATGCCTACTTTGTGAAAAAACAAAAAAAAAAACAACAAAAAAAAACAACAACAACACACATCTCCACCAAAATTTTCCACAAAGGATAAGTTTCCAATACTGATTTGTCCCTTCAGGTATTTGAGGTGAAGTGACCACTATTTTAACTTAGACTCTTGTGATGTTAAAGGCAGAATGGCTCTTAGAAGCAGTCTAGTATCAGTACTCAAGGAGTTAGAAATAAAAAATGGGTCCTTCGGCACAGACAGTTTGAGAAGCAATAATAAATGTCATGCTTCCCATTTGAGAAACAAGAAACCCGAGGTTCAGAGTGAATAAATGATACACCTAAGGTGGAACCATTAGTAGCAGAGACAAAACTAGGTTCCTCAATTTAGTCTGGTTTTCCAATGTTCATTTTATCACAAAGTACAAGAAATGTTGTTTAGGTCTTTACTGACATCCTTCACAGCAGGGGCCCCAACCTCCAGGCCATGGGCTGATACCAGCCTGGGCCTGTTAGGAATAGGCCACATGGCAGGACATGAGCTGGAATGTGATGTGCTTGAATCATCCCAAAACCAACGCCCACCCTCGTCTGGAAAAATTGTCTTCCATGAAACCAGTCCCTGGTACCAAAAAAGTTTGGGACTGCTGCTTTACATGGTGCATTTCTCTTTCACTATTGACTATTCCAAACACTCTTATACTTACAAAGCAACATCCAAAAAGAAAACCTCTTTATCAGTTCTGAACACATGGAATTATGGTTAAGCTCTTGCAACAATAATTTGTACAAACCCTGACTGTAACTGTTCCAGGTTACAAAATCCCATTTGTTTCAACAAATATCTCTGGCCTCACTTTGCTGAACGTCAGTATCCCAAAGGCCTTTGCAGGCTGCAAATATCTGAAAAGTAGCTAAAGAACTTTAATTAAAAAGTACAGGTCCTTTGGCATATAATCATGTCCAAATATTTGGTTACTGGAGCTTTTAACATTGTTTGAAACTACTAATTAGAGATAGGCTCAGCATAGTATTAATTATGAAGAAGTAACAAAGCTACGTGTTTGGCATGACTAAGTGGACATTGGAAACTGTGCTGAATAACCTTCCCTCCACTCTAGTCACAACACTGCAGAAAGCCTTCTTGCTGCAGGCACATAAAAGCTGGGAGCTAACAGAAACACCACTGGCCTGGAAGTCAGGCACCTGTCACTAACTAGCCAGCTGCATGAGCCTATGAAAGTTATTTTTTCTCTCTGAAACTTGTTTGTTTTTTCGTCCGCAAAGTGCAGGTGGAGCAGCATTGGACCTCAACCAAAAAAGTAAATATATGGCCCAAAGGTTGTGCACATACCACCAATCAATCACAGCACTCATTCCTGCCAAGTTAGATAGATCTTCAAAATCCTTCTCAGTCAGTACTCAACGTCTCGGCCTTCAAAATGTGGTCCATTGACAAATAACATCAACATCACCTGGGAGCTTGAAAAAAATTACAGAATCTCAGGCTCCAATCCAGACCTACTGAATCAGAATCTGTTCCTCAGGTGATTGTCTACACATCAAAGTAGGACTCCTCTAAGCAATCAGCATCATTGAGCAGAGTTAACACAGCTGGCAGAATCCGTATGTCATTCTTAGCCAGGAGTGTCAAACTCATTTTCACCAGGGAACACATCAGCCTAGCAGTTGCCTTCAAAGGGCCAAATGTAATTTTAGGACTGTATAAATGTCACTGCTCCTTAACTAGGGGCAAGGAGCTTGGCGGTGCTGCTGCCAGGTAGAAACAAAGTGCGGGGCTGGGTAAAACAAGGTGGAGGGCCAGATTTGGCCCTCGGGCCTTGTTTGACACCTGTGTTCTTACCTCCGCTCATCTCTAGGAGGCATTTGATTTAGTCCCCATTGGTCATCTTAGGCTGGGATCCTGCCAAGTTCTTGGCAGCCCTCTTAGAGATTGGGTCCCTTCATTAAAAGACAGTTCAAGGTTCCTGCTGTCAGAAAACCTTCTGCCAGGATCTGTGCATCTTACACACTCTCCAACCATTACCAGTACCAGTAAGCATCAAATTTCACCCACCTGCTGGCACCACATGCTTCCCAACTACCTATGATATCTTCACTTCCACATTCTTCTTGGGGGTGTCAGCCTCTTGTATAGATAAGATTAATTCCACTCTGATCCTTAATCGGCCTGCCTATTCCTCCCACTGACCAAACCACTGGTTCTCAAAGTATGTTTTCCAGACCAGCAGCAGCATTATTTGGAAGCTTGTTAGAAATGCAAACCCTGCCCTGGCTGGTATAGCTCAGTGGACTGAGTGTGGGTTGTGAACCAAGGGTAGTTGGTGCAATTTCCAATCTAGGGCACATGCCTGGGTTGTGGGCCAGGTCCCCAGTAGGGGGTACTCAAGAGGCAACCACACATTGATATTTCTCTCCCTCTCTTTCTCCTTCCCTTCCCCTCTCTAAAAGTAAATAAAGAAAGTCTTTTTTAAAAAAAGAAGTGCAAATCCTCATTGCTAAGATAATAAATCTTTAAAATTCTCATCACAAGAAAAAAATTGAAACTATGTGTGGTGATGGATGCTAACTAAACTTATTATGGTGATCATGTCATAATATATACATATATCAGTGTCATACACCTAAAATTAATACAATGTTAAATGGCAATTATATCTCAATTTATTAAAAAAAAAAGCAAAGCCTCAAACCCTACCCCAGACCTCGTGAATCAGAAACCCTGGGGTGGGGCCCAGCAATCTGTGTCCAACAGGCATACTACAGAACTCTGATGCACATTGAAATTTGAGAACCACTTGGCCAAAGGCAAAAAAAAAAAAAAGAAAAGACAATTACACTAGGTCATCTTCATTCAGCAGGAGCCTGAACATTTCCTGACTGCAAAAATATACGTATCTAGTTGGTATTCTAGTAACAAAGGTTAATAACAACCCAAGTCAAGGCAAAAGCCCAAAGTCACTTACCCTACCATCACACACGATCAATGTATTGTAGTAAACTCCGGCGCCATAATTATTCTGGATAGTGGTGATAAACTTGGGCCCCAAAACTTTTAGGAAAGAGTAATGGTTCCAATTTTTCTTCAGGTTCTTTGAATGCCATGCAAAAGGGTCATCTACTGTGAACACAAAGTCCAGCATAGCATTCTGAAAGGTGAAGAAAAGAGAATGATTTTAGTTTTAATTCCTGGAAAGGCACCCAGATAGAGTGAAAAGCTCTAAAATTCTATGCTGTTATGATTAATAAAAGACCAAGGATTGTCATCAGAAATTTAAGCAAGTCTCTGGAACAAATTTGAGCTTTGTTTTTATCAATACACATAACAACAGCAATGCTTATTTAATGTGTACTGTCATGCCAACACTCTTCTAGCCACTTTATACATTATACACACAGGAACTCATTTTATCCTCGAAACAGTTCTACCAGGTAGGCACCGTTACTACTCCAATTTATAGGAAAGGAAACCAAGGCACAGAGTAGATTCCTTGCTGAAGGACAGCTAGTGAGTGGCAAACAGTCTGGTTCCGAATTGTGTGTTGGACCACTCTTCTACGCTGCTTCTCATATAAGTGTTGCTGAAATGCTCCATTTCTCTTCCAGATGAAATGACCCTATACGGATGAACCCTAATCAGTACTCCGTAAAGGGAAGTTATTTTAACTTCCAGTCATTCACCAGATACTCACTGAAGACCTATAATGAGATCTGATAGATCCTGAGGAAGTGGTAAAGAGTTCAAAGACTACTGGGGAAGACAGACAAATTATCAGTAGATGGACTTGATAGAAGAATGCAAAATGTACTAATTTCACTCACAACTGGGTTAGAACAGGAAGCCTAAATTTTCCTATAAAATTACATTCTTCAAGACTCTGATAAATCTGAGTCTTGAAGAATGAGCAAGAGTTAAGCAGAGTTGGTGGAAGTATTAGGGGAAGCACGGGGAAGGGGAGTTCTATTGGAGGAAAACAGTCTTCTGGACATGAGAGCTGGGCATGCTCTGTGTGCTACCACTGGAATACAATGCAGGCAGGGGAGTGGTGGGAGATAAGACTAGAGAGGGATTCTGGTTGCCATGCAAAGAAATTTTCCTGCAGAACTCACTGGAGGGAGGAGAGAATAAAGGCCAGGAAACCACACAGCAGGCTAACTGCAAGATTCTGGGTGAGAAAAGAAAAGATAGTAAGGCACTAAAAGGTACAGAGACTGATCTGACAGGCGTTGGAAGCTACAAGACTGTTAACCTGAAGGAAATGAAGGTGAGGGAAAGCAGAAGAATCTTTTCTTGTGAGGGAATTCCACCTTTGCTCAAAGGAAAATTTTCATGAAAATATGAAGAAGTGGCTATAGAATCAGGAGGCCAAGGGCTGCTCTGAGTTTCCCAAACGTGATCCACAAATCACTGGTGATACTTAAGATTTTGGAGGGATGTTTTTAAAAAATTTACAATTATATTAAGGTATTTAGAAAAATGACTAGCCTATAATAACCTATAATTTACACATCTATAATCTATAAATTCTCATATGCTGTCAGTTTAGTGTTACTTAAAAACTAGTGTAGGTAGGAAACAGCAAATCCAAACGGTATAGATGGCCAGACAGATCACAGCCATGTATTCAAATCCAGAAGGCCTTTCTGCAATCTGCACACTTCCATTTCCCTAATTTATTGCAGATGACAATGAACTATTAGGCTGTGCATTAATTACAGTAAGTAGAAATCCAGTTCAGAACCTAAGTTGCACACGCAGAGAACCAACTCTATTTTGACTTTTGCCCCTTTTACATTAATTCAGCAAAAGCTCTACAGCCCTGGTAGAAAAGTAACTGATAGCTTCCTTTAAATGGAAAATATTTGCCTTTCACTCTTCTGCTGTCTTCAATCTTGTCTTCACCTTGGAAACAAACTTTATTTTCAGAAAAAAGTCTTCCATCACTAGGAAAACTGTACCTTCACCACTGTTGCGCTCAGCCAACTCTGAAGAGTAACAATGCCTAATCCTAAAGTCTTGTTCAATGTCCTGAGCATGGGTATACACACTGGCCACTCACTAATTTTTACTCTTAGTTAAGTTCACTGCACCTGCCTTAGCCCTACAACCAGTCCCTCAGCTCCCGTAAGTCAGGAAGATCATTTTTAATTTTCTCCTACAGTGGACACTCACTCAAGCTCGGCTGTGCATTAGAATCACCTAGGAAGGTTTCGAAATTCTTGAAGCCCAGGCCTTTCCCCAGACCAATACAATGAGAATCTCCATTGGTGGAAGGCTGGCATCAGTAATTTTTAAAGCTTCTCAGAGAATTCCATGCTCACCCAAGGCTCAGAACCTTAACTAGCACCTAGCAAATATTTCTTCTCCTTTCTACCACCTTGCCTTTGCACCAGCTTTTCCCTCCTAATAACTGCATCTCCTGCTCTAAAAGAAAGTGGACTCCTACTTATCCTAAAAACTAGGCTCACGTTGTTATACTAGGAACACTTTCATACAGTTTGTACTTTGCTAGTTGAGACGTGGAGAGCGCAGAGCAGACACGCGTCTCTAGGGTTCTGAAGGGATTGAAGGCAAAATGAAAACTCGGTCGAACAGGCCGATTCTCGGCGTGGGGCTGGCCCCGGGTCGGGCTCACCTTCTGGTTTGAACTGGGCCCCGCCTGGCGGTACACCCCGGAGCCATAGGCGAAAGCCAGGCTCAGCTCCTCGGGGAAATGAGACAGGATCTTGCGGAAGGCCACCCCCGAGCTTTGCAGCGCCTGCAGCGCCATGGGGCCGAGGCCCAGAGACAGGGACCCTTGGCAGGGTAGGGCAGGGGAGAGGACAGAGGGGCGGGGAACAAATACGGCGAATGCGGTTACGGGTGGGGAGATGAAAGACCGGGGCCGGCACCAAAGGGAGAACGCTGGAGACAAAAATAATAACCGGTGAGACCCGCAAACACTAAGGTTACAGTCGTGCCGGTGAGCGACCAATCCCCGGCACAGCTCTCACTCACTTGTGTTACAAAACTGCAAGAGAAGGCCCTCGCCCATGTGTAAGGACGCGAGGACTTTGTGGAGACTCCTGGTGGTCGGAGGAGCGCAGGTCAGGCTGGCAGCCTGGGACTGTGATGAACATATTGGTGGGAGAAGAGTGTTGGCTAATTGAATTGCTTTTGAGAATCCTTTTTTTGTTCTCACTTCAAACCACATTTTCGTAAATGACTATAAAATCATGCGTGTTTATTGCAGAAGATTTTTAATGAGGTGAAATTCACATAACAAAATTGTACACTTTATGTACACTTCAGTGGCATTTAGAACATTCATCATATTGTGTAACCATTATGTGTATCCAGCTCCAAAACTAGATTTTGAAGGTTTAGGAAAACACAAAATTAAAATCATGCCCAATTCCACCATCCAGAGACTATCACTCTTAAAATTTGGCTGTGATTTCTTCCCATTAAAGTCCTTTTCAAGTCTGATGATGGGTATGAAAGTGCTCCATAAATGGTAAAGGCCTGTACCAATTTCTCTGATATTTGTATTTAATTTTAAGGGTGGAGAGGAGTTTCTGCCCCTTTATTTTGGGGGTTAATCTCAGAAAAGGGCATATTAATGTTTCCTGGAAATAAACAAGGCCCCAGGTGAGAGTTCACCTCTTTATGTGTAACTAGAGAAACTTGCTCAGGATCACAGGGCCGTTCAGGATGTAGTTTAACTTCCAGGATAGAGATTTTGCAGATACTCTCCTTCTTCCTCATACACTGCCTCTCAAAAATAAAAGCAGTTTTAGCTAGATTTGATAATGATGATGAATTTTTCACTGAGTCTCCTCTGCTGTCTTGTTGGAGAAAGTTATTGCCTCCATTTTAGGAATGAAGAAGCTAAGACAGAGAAAAAGCAATGTGCTTAGGACCACATCAGCTTGTGGCAAAACTGGAGCTAAAACCTAGGTCTGACTCCACGTCCTACAATTCTTCTGTCCTTGAAGTGTTTTGAGCAGGGATCTGTTTCCTGGATGGGAGTGGGGAAAGAAAAGGCCATAGGAGGCTGTTACTACAGTTTCACCGTAAGTAAAGACACCTGAGTTGGGGTAATAAAGGCAGGGATGGGATTCATTCAATTTGAAAAATGATTATTTGAATTCAAACCCTGAACCTGGCACAGAGATAAGTGCTGACGATTTGAGATGACTAGAACAGGACTGCTGCCTTACAGAAGCTCAGGGTTTATGGAGGAGACAGACAAGCAAACCCAGAATACAAGGTGCAGTATGAATTTGGGTACCCAGCAACCTGTACGACCTGTGATGATGGAGCGCTAATCAGTTCTGTGTGTGCAAGAAAAGACCAGAGGAGGTTTCACAATGGTGGCATCTGAGCCAGGCTTTGAAGGATAAGTAGGAGTTTATCAGACAGAAGATGGATGGGAGAGATTCTACTAAAGAAGAATTGATAGGATGCAATGACAATAGTAATAAGTGACATTTGTTTATTTACTATTCCCAAGCTCCTACAATACTTATCTTTTTCATCATTCCAAAGACCCCATGAGACATGTTCTCTAAGAGTATCATTTTTCACATGAAGAAAGAGAGGGCATAAAAGGAGAAGTTAATTTCCTGGATTCACAGTTAGGAGATTTGAACCCAGGGCTCCCAAACTCCAAAGGCCGAGCTATTTACCACCTTGTTTTGGTGACTTCTAAAAGACACGGCTGTGCAGCAAGAGAAAGCAATGGAAAATCAGCTGGTTCCATTGGCAGCAAGAACAGCACCAGGCGTTAGACCAGCAGAGGCAGACCAGACCTCAGCTGAGGAACTGTGGTACTTGAGTTCTGCCTAAGAAAGAATTCAGAGTCAAAACTCAAACTACAAAAGAAAGTTTATTTTCAAAGTCACAAAGGTAGAAGAAGTGAGTTGTAGAAGAAATGGGCTCTGAAAACAAGTTACAGAGGCAAAAAAAAGAAAAAAAGGGCCCTTGGAGCTTAGGGAAAAGACAAGGATCACACGCCTGAGGAAAGGGGATGGGGAAAGCCACAATGGGTCCTCCTCTTGTAGGGGTGTCAAACTCATTTTCACCAGGGGCCGCATCAGCCTCATGGTTGCCTTCAAAGGACCGAATGTAATTTTAGGACTGTATAAATGTAACTACTCCTTAACTAGGGGCAAGAAGCTCAGCGCTGCCACCGGGTAGAAACAAGGTGCCAGGCTGGATAAAACAAGGTGGAGGGACGGATTTGGCCTTCGGGCATTGTGTTTGCCATCTGTGCTCTAGAGGATATTTATCTGGAGGTCTTAGGGGAAGATTCCAATAGAATATGCCTCAGCTTCCCAAGTGTGTCCTTTCAGGGTCATGGTCTTTACTGATTGGTCGGTGCCCAGGCAGGGGTCATTAGTCAATGCATCTTGTCCTGATGTCAGCAATGACATCACTTGTCTGGTTATGCTGCTTTTCTGGGCCTGGAGCTGAAACACAGCTGAGGCCAGATATATTGGATGTGGGTCAGAACCTCATTGTCCTGGGGGCTTAATGCTTAAGGGCTATTCTCTGGACCCATTGTTTTTAGCACCTCTAAGGGGTCTAACTTTCATGACTAGCAAGCAGCCAAGGAAGCAAAGGTCAGGGGAGGGTCCTAACTGCATGACCAGCAATATGAAAGGTCAAGGAGTCTAAACCACAAGCCCAGTGACATTCTAGGAGAGGGTAGGTTACCTGTTTCCCCAGTTTTGCTCATTGCTGGGCACCCAAGGCTTTCTGCTCTGGTGACCTTCTGTACCTGGCTCATAGTGCCTGCTCTGTTCACGTCTGTCTAACTACCTATCCAGTTCTACTCCATCAGCCCAAGTCAAAGAGCAGTAGCAGTAGCAGTAGTTAAAGAGACAACTGAGACCAGAACAGGGATGGCAGGAGGGAGACACAATGTGTTTCAGCCTCTCTATGTGAGCACAGTTGTTCTGGCTCATTCTGACTGAAGATCACCCTTTCTCGATTGCCAGAATCTGAAGTGTTTACTGCAGAATTACACTGAAACTTTTTACCCAAAGATAGTGAATAAATCTCCATCAATCATGTTATAGTTTTGGTTTCCTTCCTTATAGTAATATTTAACTTTGTTCTGTTTTTTTGTCCCTTTTTGCAAAAATAATCCATGCTCATAAAAATGTAAACATTACAAAAATATGTATACCATCTCCCAGAGATAGCCATGGATAATCTTTGGTACATATTCCTCTAGATATTTTTCTATAAATATATTAACATTAAAAACATTTTTAAATGGAATTATAGGATAGATGCTATATTGCAATTTGCTTTTTTTTCACTTAATATATCAGGAACATCTTGCCATGTCAGAATATACAGATCTATCTCATTCTACTTATTAGCAGCAAATTTTTCTACACCATGGATATGCTATCATTTGTTGAAACATTTTTATATTCACAGTATAGAGTATATCCATTTTTCATATGTGCAAACAATGCCATAGTGAACATCGGTGTACGCAGACCTTTGTGCACATGTGCAGGTTGCTATGAAGTAGATTCCCAGAAGTGCAATTCCTGGGTCAAAGTGTCAGCACCTTGCTGAAATCCCCTCCGAACGATTGTACAAAGTTCAGCCCTTGACATAAATAAAGATTCTGCAGTGTTCTTTACTTCTCAGTCTTACAGGCTTTCACACCTAATTATCAGTCATTTTCACAAACACTCTCCTTCCTGATAATGCAAAATCACCAGCTGGAAAATTCCATCACATTCCTGCATGCATTTGCCTCGCCCAGGAAAAAGACAGAAGCAATGAAGTAGAGAAAACATTTTTATTCTCCAGCAGAAATCTCCCTGCTCCTAGCAGTTCATCCGCTCCCTTTTAAATTACTGTGGCTTGTGAAGTTAGAAGCTATTAAAAAGCCCTAGTGTTCTTTATAATCGCTTTAGGGTTCTGTTGGAACTCTCATACCAATGAAATAAAAACATTAGAGAGCCATTTTCAAATACAGATAAATGCCACTTGATTTGAGTGAATGTAGGCCTCATTTTTCTGATTTATCCAGCTGTTGGCTTTGTATTTCTTAACAATGACCTTATCAAGGCTAGGTTTCACTAGGAGAATGTTCACCTATTCCATTTTTTAAAATCCCTGTAAAATCTCTATAACTTTTATGTCTGGGTTTTTCTTCTAATCAGTTTTTAAATAAAGATGGAAAATGTTTGGGGAAAAAAAATCCAAGCCCTGTGGTTCCTACAATTAATCACATGCTCAATTTGTCCACTGATGCGAGAGGGGACCAGATCAGAGGAATGTCACTCTGTCACATCAAGTCCAAGTGTCGTATCTTGCCAGACTGAGAGCATCTTTAACATTTCTTTAGTGTCTGAGGTACCACCTGGATTTGAATCTGGGCCCCAGGAGTTAACACAATAGCTGTTTGACCTTGGGCAACACAACTGCAGCTCTTTGTGCCCTTTCCCCCATTGTCTGCAGGATGTTCATAGTAGTAATGCTTGCCTTACAGGGCTGCTGGGACAGGAAATGAAACAGTATCCAGAAAGTACATGAAACAGTGCCAGCCCCAGAGTGAGCTCTCAGTAAATGTTCTCCATCTTATTTAATTCTTTGGAGGCAAAGTACAAAGAGAAATTCAGAAGCATAATTACGGCATTTAGCATTTTACAAGAAACATTTTCCAGACATGATTTTATTTAATACTTAAGACGAATCCTAGGAAATGAGTGGATATTAATCTAAAATTACAGAGGGATAAACTAAGACACAGAAAAAAAATGAAGTGATTTACCTGAAGTCACAGGGCTAATGGCAGTCCTGATAACAGCCTCCAAGTCTGACCCTTTTCTTCTTGCACCATAAAAATAGCACAAATTGTTCATTTCCTAAGGGACTCATTCATTCTCCCATTGAAATCTTCCTCCTCCTTTAGTCCCAGCTCGAATATCACTCTTAATTAGAAGTAAATTTTCTATCCTC